TGGTCTTGCTTTCCTCTCAAACTGATCTATAGCATTGTCTCTGCAGTCTTTTCCCGTCTCTATCCCAGGCGTGACATTCCAGGGTTAAGCCGCCTTCGCATCCCTTGGTTTGCACCGCAGAAGCCACATTCGCATCCCTTTCTTTGCAGGGTATGTGTAGCGAGGAGGAATTGAGGATTCTTGCAGTAACCATATCTTGAACACCACGCAAGAAACCAAGCTCTTAACGATACCTTGCGGCATCTCATATCTCCCTCGCTTATACCACCTGACCATCCATACGAGTATCTCGCGGCCCGCTGGGCATCTCCGGAGCAAAGCTTCTGCCTTTCAACGATTAACCGGGTCATTAGCCTTTCTGCCATTTCTGATTTTTGGGAAAATGCAAAAGCATACGCCCCAACTTCACCGGTCCATAAACCCGAGATGAGAACCTGCACCCCAGGTAGACTCCGCTGTAGTCACTCAGTCACTCTGCCGGCCCTCACTGAACCTGCCCGAAGCGCCTCAGCATTCCATGCCTTTGCGGCACGTGATGTCTCCGTCAGGGAGCGAGACCTGGCCAGCAGTGGCAGAGGGTTTATTAGCTCAAGGCTTCCCGGGTAGTACACCTTCCAGTGCGGTGAAATAGTCTTTGGAAATGTTTGTCAAACTGTTGCTCGCTGGAACGAATCTGCCAAGCCCGAACCACCTGACCTTGGCAGATCACGAGGTCTGTAGCGAATTCTGACTTGCCAAATAAAAGACCCTGCCCCCAGCTCTGGGCTGACTTCTTCACCTCTACTCCTTTGCACACAAGCAATGCTGGCAGGGCTTGTCTTGGCAGAGGGCTCTTGCACTCACAGACCTGTGCTTCCTGGAAATTTTGGGAGACGTACTTAAGGCTGAGGCTCTGATGCCACCTACTCCATAGACCGTGTCGCTGAGAAAATGGAGTGGGGGTGTATATATTGAATCATGTGAGCATTACTTGAAGGCCACCTTGCAGTGGGATTTGGGCCCCAACAGGCATGTAAGCCGGTGCTGTGGTCAGGGCTTTGCAACTTGCAACGACAGAAGCTGGGGAACCAGTGCCGCATCAGCCGAATCCCCGTCAGAAGCTTCGAATCCTAAAGCAAGAATTATTAGCATGAGACTTTTGGTGTGGTGAGGCATGCTTGCTATTGACCGGCAAAGAGGATCTGCAGCCCTCGGGTTTCACCGCTATGACTTATCACCCTGAATCCGCATAGGAGCCCAAAACGCTAAACCCGACCCGCTCTGCTGTGCTGCTATGCGCCGAGGCAGCGACTGAGTGCCCGTGCCAGAGAAGGCCAAGAGTCGCCTGAGTGGACTTCAAGGCTTGAAGCTTGTGCGGCTTTCAAAGTATAGGCTCTGCCATCTTTCCCAAACATGATTCTTGTAGTTTCCGTCTCAACCATCTAGGCCCAGTCGACACCGACACAGACTTTGGCTTGAAGTTGTTTGCAAAGCCCATATTGTCTGAGCAGGAGCTCTCTCAAAAAGATGCCCTGGCGATAGCTATTCAGCCATTCTCAAAGGTCCATGATTCTCTGAAGCACCGATTGAAATCTGAGAAGGAGATCTCGGGCTACATCGGACTGATCTTCCGAAGGCAGGGCGCACGGAGCTGCAAAGCGCCAGCGCCAGGAGGACACAGGCTGCCAACCGTGAGCTGCCCTTCAGGGCTTGTGGGCTTTTGTTTGCCACCCGCCTAGCTGACCTTGCGGCCACTTGCAGGGAACTATCTGGCCATGGTTGGATGATATCTCAGAAAAACTGCTCAACGACGTCTCGGCTGGAGTTCAGGCATCAACAACATCTCATCAGGATCTACCTGATTTTTGGTTGGGGGCTAGGAAACTCAGGAAATCCCGATGACGTCTCGGAAGCTGTACTTGTGCTCGAAACTGAACACAGCTCGAGGCTTTGGGGCTTTTGGTTTTTCGGGCCATGGCCAAAACATGACTTTGCGTCCCAGAATTTATCCTGTGGCCCTATTGCTAGTGTTTGTTTGGGTTTAGCGGGAAGAATGCAAAGTTTCTGGGTCGGGGACCCGCCAAAGAACAGCAAACCTCTAGAAGGCCTTGAATCCTTGAGCCCTACAACCTGAAGAAACTTGCTTGACGAACTAAGTGTGCAGGGGTTCGGCCACCAGTTCCCGGATGCGCTTTATTGTATTGTTCGGGAGGTCCGGAAAAATCCGCGGCCTCAAGCTCAGGCTCAAAAGCCGAAGGCCTGAAGCCTGAAGCCTCAATCCCCGGTCCTTGTAAACCCTTGTACGGGCTTCGACTCTCATCGTGGGCAAGGCTCCAAGGTCTCTCACATCCAACACAGGTGGTGACATTGACCACTGCCCTGCCACAGCCCTGTACAAGTCAATGGCGCACTTAGCCGAGCAATGGGCTGCTGCTGTTCGGAGGGTTGAAGGCAATTCATACACTCGTTCAATCGACCAACCCCACCGAACCACAGTTCCTTTACAACTCCTTGGATCTGCAGCAGGGACCTTGTAAGGGACGATGGCCAGCACTGGCCCGTAGCTGAAGTCAGCATTGGATGAGACCAGCATAGATAGACTCCGGACGTCCCAACCATAAAGGGTAGATTCGTGTATCAACTCGTCTGCTGTCACTTGAAGACGGATCGAACCGCTGGACGATCAGGATTTAAAACCTATGCCTGCTCGACAGTTGCCATGTTCTAGCACAGCTCAAGAGACAGGTGCGCTGCCTGAAAAGAACAGTCAGCAAGGTCAATGATTATCAATTGCCAGTTGTGTTCACTGGCAACTCAGGGCCAGTGTTGCAGCCAACGCACCGGCTGCTGGCAAGGCAGCGCGGCCCCCGAGACTCGTCTCCGTGGAGCCGCCTGTTGTAGTAGTTGTGGCCTTGCACATGTCCACATAGGCGTCAGAGCCTCCCAGGAGTGTGGCGGAGTTGCCTGTGTCGTCACAGACGGAGTCCAAGCAACCCCCGGCGGGTGCATCCTTCCACTTTCCCACCATGGCACAGGTGATGCCGAGGTGTGGGTACAGGGACTCCACCAAGGTCTTCACCTTGCAAGGGGTATCCGCTGGGATGGATGTTTGGCTCAAGTCAAAGAGTGCATCCACAGCCTCCACAGCGGTCACATTGAAGTTGGACATGTACCCAGATGCGGATCGCCAATATGCCCAGCCCTCGGCTAGGTATTTGGGCTCCATGGTTCCGCCGTTGTAGGCTTTGTCGGCGTACTTGATGGCACTGCGGATGGCTGCAATGGAGAAAATCTTGTACATGCCCAACTCCGCAGCTTTCACGTTCGTGGCGTTGTAGCTGCCAACGGAGGTTGATGAGGCCATAGTTCAAGATTGGAATGGAAGCCTGATGAGTGTTGACACCGTCAGGGTAGTCGAAATCACGCTTCCAGTTGAACTCATACGGTGAGTAGAGGTTGCCAGGAGCAGCACCGCTGAACCCATCACCCAGCACGGGGTCAATGTTGCCGATGTAGAAAGCAGCACCCTCGTCCCAGGCGTAGGCCGCCCCACCATCCGCTGTCTGACCATTCTCACCTTTCCAAACAGCCGCACCGAACTCGTAGGTAGCATAGGCTGTCACAACACCGATGAGGGCCTTGTTGATCACATATCGCCTGAAAGAGTCGCTCTGTCCCTGGCAGACACACCCGTGTTATCCAAGCACGCCATGATGTAGTCATGCCAGATGGCAGACGTCGAGTTGTAGAGGCTGAGAGCACCGGTATAGAAGACATTGGTGTACTTCCCGTCGACGGTCATGTCCTTCCTGGAGCGTACGCATGTTCCCTAGGCCCTTCGACGGTTCGACGAGGAAAAGTTGCCCATGGTGTAGACCTCTCTGGCCATGGCATAATCAGGCGTGTCCTCCAGGTACCTCTTTATCAAGGCGACGTCCCGGTTGATGTCCGCATGCTCTGTGATATCGTTGACTGGGCAGTACAGCCCGTCCGACAGCTTTGGGCAGGAATCTACAGGATTGCAGGCTCCACCCTCTGCACCTGTGGCAACAAGGCCCAGAAGTACCAAACGAATCGCTGCCATGGTCAGCTCAGGAAGGTTGTACTTTTGGGCGGTGGGTTCTCCTCTCTTCAGCCCGGGCTTGAGCCAAAATGGTCTTGTAACCATTTGGGTTGTGGTTTGGGCTTTTGGCTTTCGGGTTGCGCCTGCTAAGCCACAAACTAACCATGGATATGACATGGTATGAATAGCTATTCCGCACGGAAGAAACGCGCACATTTTGGACGTTGCTGCTGTCTCTGCCACAGCGACCCTGCACCAGCCTTCGCCATGCCGATTGCCTGTAAAATCACTCAGGATAGGGATTTGGCAAACGGCACACCCATGATGCGGGAGGATCGCTGGCGCTTCAGTGCTTCATTCTCTTATGTCCATAAAGCTTGGCACCTTGTTCCATGCTTAGCCCTTGTTACCTTTGGCTTCGTGTCTCTTAGAGGAGATGTCCACAACAAAACTAATGGGCCCATTTCAGCCTGTGCACACCAACCTCTAGGCACACTAGGCCCGGCACAATAGGCACAACCTCTCGCCAGCTTTTGAATATGAGCAGCTCAATTTGCCAAACTGAAGATGGCCCCCTCCCCCACCGTAGCCATGCTTCAGCATGGTTTGCAAACCCGAATTTCGCAAGCTGCCTCTGCTGTGAATGAGGGAGCCATCTTAGACAAAACATGCAGACTTGTTCAAGCCTCGAGCAGGACAGCCCAGAAACGCTCCCGGCCTTCTTCCGCGTCGCTCAGCGGTGATTCGGGCTTCAACGGCTGCGTCGGCAGCCACCGCCGGGCACTCTTTTGCACAGGAAATCCTGAAACTTGTCTATTAAGACCATCAGAGGACGCCAAGCCATGCCTGGTCAACAGCTCCGCTGGGGAAATTTTGAGGCACGGAGGCTTGAGCTTCTCGTTCAACCATGCTCCACCCGTGCGCTCCTGGAAGATTCAGAAAACTCCGTTGCGCGGGCCTCCCATGAAGCCTTCTGCGTTTCCACATCCCAGAGACCGACCCTGACAAATATGGAGGGCATGCTAGGGGCATGTTCTCGTCTTCAACCAAAAGCTTCATTTATAGACATCGTGCTGTGAAGTTCTCAGCCATTAAATGGGCTTCTGCCCTTCTCTGCTTCACCCCGTGCTTCATGTGATGGCGAGCCACAGTTTGCGCCCAGTCTTTTGGCAAAAAGAATGAATCAGAACGAATGAAGTAACGCAGAGGGCAGCCATAACCCAATTATGTTGACAAGCCCAAGCAATGATAAATCCAATATCCTGCTCATTGCGCCTTCCATCCTTGCCCTGGCTGAGGCATTGCTGACCTTTTGCCAAAGCCAGCAAAGACAGTACCTCCCAGAATGAGGCTGTCTAGCAGGCCCCTACCATTGCATCTACATCTACAGAAGACTCACTGCGTTAAAGCTCAGGACTCTGTTTCTACTGGAGCTTGCTCTATGCAGAACATCACCAACAGGACTGAGCAGCTGGTTCCATGCTTTCGCTGGTGCCTCCCTTGCCACATCTTGCCTGCAGCCCTAGAACTCGTTGTACTGCATTGTGGGGTTTTGGGTGTGATGCGGGTGGGAGTGCTGGCTTCCGCGGTGGCTGTGGTGGCTTGGCAGTGGATGTGCTGGTGTTAAGTATTCTTGTTCTTACTGCGATTTTGAGTATTTTGATTTTGAGTTTCACAACCACCGGAGAAAACCGCTTACTGCTGCACAACTTGTGGCATGGCAGGGTAAGCTCGTCCCGCCGCCTTGACCTGTAACAGAACAAGCGCAAACGGAGCACTGTCTCATCTGACACTTTCCACGTGGCATCCTTGGATGACAAGTCAAGGACACGATTCAGCGCATTCCACACGCCAAGCTGTGCCAAGCTGACAGTATGGGCATACCGTAGATAACTGCATAAGGTTGAAAAAGACTATGATAGCGCAATGGTTTAGAGTCTAGGGGTGGCTAGCAGCTCGACTTTCCGATGTGCATGCCTGTTTAGGAACTAAGCTGGACTGAGTGTATGCTTGCAATCGGCAGCAGCTTCGGTACCTGCAGTCTCGAGCTTGTAGCTTGAAAGCTTTGGACGTTTCGCTGGAACAAAAACTTCCGCAACACAAGCACGGGATGTGTGACGATCCTTGGCTCAGGTACGGGCAGGACGCTGGTCGTGCAAATCCCAAAGTGAGACCTGCAACTCGGCATCAACGACAAGAAAGCAAGTGAAGCAACTGTTAGTGATGAAGCTTTCTTGGAAGCCTTGGGCATCAGCTTGAAATCAAATCAGTCATATGTGTGCCAGACATTGAAGCAGACACCTGCTACTGCATGGCTGTGCTGTCTTGTGTGGTGCATTTTCTACGTAGTTGTTTCGCTTGTGCTGTGTTTGTGGATTGTTACAGCGATCACAAGATGTGACAATGCCACAACATAATGGGAATGATGCCAACAACGCACTTTGCCGAAATAAGAGCTGGCATTGTTGCTAACAACCGACAACCGCTCGTACCAAAGCTTACAAGCGGGATCGGACGGAGACATTGGGTCATGGAACATGTACAAGTAGTGTTACTGCTGCTCCCAGCAGCTGCCGACACGTCCGTGACCATGTCAACATCAACACCAATGGCAGTGAAGCTCGTCTGCAATCTTGTAAGGAATGTACTTCCGTGCCAGAATTGTAAAGCGTCATGCAAGGAAGACAGGCTAACCATTGCATCGCTTGCGAAGGGCTAAGGGCCTGGCAGATCAATGATCAAATGGTGTTAGGTGATGTCGGATGAGCCACCAACGAGCACACAACCCAAACTGCGCATGATGCAAGAACTGGCCTTCAAGATGCCTGGAGCATGCCGAGCTGCCTATCATCCCATGAATGACCCGAGATTTGCTTGCCTGCCTCACCCTTCAGGCTACCACCTTGGCATGGGCTCCGAGCATCTGGGGATTTGACCGTTCGAAAATCGTGCATATCCAGGAGCACTCTTTGGCATGACAGACCGCACAGGGATGTTGGATACAAACACGCTAGTAGGGATGTTCGGAGCATTGCTGTGCCCCTACTCACCACTTTATCGTCCTAGTCCCCAGGCCTCTCATTAAGCCGAAGCCTCCCGCAAGTCCTCTGCCATCTCAAAAGCCACTATGCCGAGACCCGTGCTCAGGAGCTTCCCTGCCGAGATGAAGGACAGCGAGTAAACGCCACCTCGCAACATGTGGCAAGCTCCCTGATGCTGTCTTGCACGAGTGTCGAACTTGTCGAGATCTTGGCCTTCTTGAGGCACGGTGCGGCGTGCTGCCAAGGTTCAGGAATTCCAATGTGTGCCTTTCTTGCTTAGCGTTGCAGTGAGGTTCGGCTGAGCACCTTGCCAGCCCGACTGCGGATGATGACGGAAGGTGCCAAATGCCTTGCTCTAGGTTTTGCAGCTTGCAGGAGTTGCCACCGCTTATGATGAAGAAGAGATTAGCACCCTGCGGCTGCAAAAGACAAGTCATGACGGAGGTAATTATCCTGCATGAGCATTGATAGCATACGTCTGTAGGCCACATCTCGACGATCAGCGCGGAGCTGCTTAAGACTTCCTGCCAAGCACTAAGCACTCAAAGCCAACATACGTAGCCCTAAAGATCCGTAAAGCATCTTCAACCTGACAGTACCATTTTTGTTCAATCTCGAAACCTCTCGAACTGAAATCGTTTTGGCTTGTGCAAGCCCCCAAAGTGAGGCCGTCACGGTCGCGGCTCCATGGCGACCAGCGCTGTGGGACACCATCGTTCTCAAGAGTCTCGAATCTACACAATGCCACGAAGCTTATTACTGGTCTTGGAATCTGTGTCGCATGATAGGGAGGAGGAGATAGGGAAACCATTGCTGCCTCGCTTGCAGGATGTATCCCACCTGTCTGACTTGGTGTACATTTCTCTCGCCTCTCTCTTCCTGTGCTAGAATGCTAGAATGGATCCAACCCTGAACAAGCAATGCACGTTTAGAAATGATGAAGCCAACACATCGATGGTATGCAAGCTTGAAGGGTACGGAGCATCCGCCATTTCCATATTTCCCTGCATGTCTGGTTGGCGCCTTTAGATTGTGTCTATCTTGGAGTCGCGCCTCTCCACCTCCCATTGCCTTTCCTCATCTTTTGGGGCTATCGACTTCTATGGCTTGCGCCAAAATGTCGGCTGCTCACCCGAATCCTATCCGAGCAAGGAGCGGAGTCCGAACAGAGGTGCGTTCAGGTCTTCACCTGCACCATGTGCTGCGGAGCAAGCTCCGACAAGTTCCTCGACAACGCTTGCTTTTGATGTAGGTGGGCCAACTCGCAAACAAGGCCGGGTAATTCACCTCATGGCATTTTTTGTTAAAGCCAGTACACGTGCCCCTGCCTGAAAAGGAGACGACCAACTTCTCATTACAGAAGACGCGCGCTCCCAATAGCGACTGCATTAAGCAGCCTACGCACAAGTCAGCCAGGGACACGTTTTTGACATCTTAGGCTTGGCCTCGCTGTCGTTCTAGCAGAGATTTGATGGCTTCAATCGATATCCTATCTTAAGCTGCGCTCGAGATGTTCTAGCTCCGGACCTCGTCCCAAGGGATTATGCAGAGGTCCTCTGAATCAGCGAACCGCTTGAGATCGCTGACAGTCACCTTCCCATCCCGGGACACATCAAGGATTTCAAAAATGCATTCTGCAAGACTCATCTCACCGTCGTCCACCTTCAAGCCCAGCTTGCGGATGTTTTCAAATATTTCCTGACGCCCGATTAGGCCATCATTGTTCAGGTCAATATTCTGGAAATCATCCTGGTCCAGACATCCATCACGACTGGTGTCGGCCATTTCCCAGATACGTCGCCAGATCACACGTGCGAAGTCCACCATCAACAAGTGATGGATATTCAAGAGCACATCTTCCTTTTCGGGAAGGAGCTCTGGCCTATCACTGTAGTATGCTGTCAATGGTGGACTCTGTCCATTCGTGAGATCAACAATCTTGGTCGCAACTCGGTATGTCCTAGATGGGTCCACAGCACGACCAGCGACTTCGAGGACGGAGTTGTTGGCATCTTCCCTCACGCCGTCGTCGTACTGAAACCAGCCAGGTTTGGGTTCACCTCGTGTTGCTTTGACACCTTCCATCACAAGCCATCCGGGCATGTCGACTATGCCTAGCACCTCGTCCTCCTTTATCTCTGCTTCCAAGGCCTCCAGGGAGAAGAAAGCATCAGGCATATACTCACGACTTCCCCTAATATTGCCACCCATCAGCAGCACTGCGTCCACGTGATGGTCAGCATCTCTGTGGCTGTTCAAGGCATCACGTATGATCGTGCATATGAACCCTCCCATTGTGGTTACACGTTCACGAGGACCCACTGAGGAGAGAGGACGGAACTTGGCAGGTATAGTGCAAAGCTCCGTGTTCCGCAAGGGGTCAAGTACGGCATACGATCTCTCGGCCTCCCTCACCATCTCAGGATCAGCGGGCCAGTCTGCAACACGCGCAAACTCTGCGGTCACAGAAGGTGCACTATCTGAGGGGCTTTCCCAGCCAATTTCCAGCACGGTGGCGTAGTGGGCATCCTGTCCAGGTTTCAGCAAGCGCGTGCCTTCCACAACTTCATCCACTTGATGGTGATCGTGGCCAGACAAAATGACAGGAACGTCGAACTCTCGACAAGTGCGGTGGTCTTGGTGCACGTACAGATGCTGCAAGGGAAGCACCAAGTCGCATCCGTGTTTCACCTCGAGGAGTTCCTTGTAATAACGCAGGGTGTCCCACGGGCAATCGATCTTAGCTCCACCAAAAGCACCAGGAGCTTTGAAGTGCTTGTACAAGTCTGCTTCGTTGCTGAGCAATGCAACCAGACCTATTTTCCGCACGTGCGATCCATCTGGGCTTGGAACTGTGACTATATGAAACGGCTCCTGGTACTTCATTGCCTCGTGCGTCTGCATGTTGGAATTGAGCCATGTTCCTTGGAACTCACGGACATGTCTGCATACTGTGGCATGAGGAATATCCGCTTCGTGATTGCCCCAGGTAAGGAAGTCCACGGGCACTGAGTTTAGCATACGCATCATGCCGAATCCCTGGTCGATGGTCGAAAGCAAGTACGGTGCCAAAAAGTCTCCGGTCAGCATGGAAATTGTGTTCGGATTCTGGGCCTTCTTTTCGAGTATCATGTTCTTCAAGTGCGGAAAGTTGTCAAGCATATACACGTCGGTGATCTGAACTATCGTCAGCGCTGCCCTCTGGCTTTCAACGTTGGCTCGTGCTGCACAGGCACAGGTGCGCCTCAAAGCATGTGATTTGGCCCTCGTCACTCGATGAATGCTACACCTTGGGCAAAGATCAGCAAGCCTGTCAGCTTTTTCCCAGGCAGCACGTCTTCGCCATGCAACAGTTTGAATTGCACGTGTCGTGACAAAACCTTCGCCAAGAATTCGCACACACGGATGGTAGATGTAGCAGCAGAGTAGCAGGACACAAATTGTCTGCAACACCAGGCACGCTCTTCGCAAGGAGCGTGGCTGTCTCATCGCGACTCAGGGATTGACCATGGCAGTCATCCCTGGGGCTTCAACGCTAATCAAGGATGGTAACTAATATGCCAATATGCATGGCACCGAATGCACCAACAAATTGACATTGGCCATCAAGGTAAAAGTGATGTTCTGACACTGTGAGTACTGTCGACCACGCTGCAAGCGCTCGCGGTTCTTGGGCCAGCAACTTGAGAGAATGGTGGGCAAACGAGTGGCAAATGTAAGGAAATCTAGGGAAAATAGAGGGCTGGGCTCGGGCCCAAGCCTTTGTAAATTTCAGCCATCTGTGGCCTACTGGCCCCAGTGGCTTCACATGTTTCACCCAGTTGTATTCATTCTCACATTCAGCTGCGAAGTTCGCTCCGCAAACTGCAAGCTTAATTTCTGAGGGCGGCGCACGTTCTTGAGAAGTTGAAGGCTTGAAGGGGCATGACAATTGATTTGCTACGCAATCTGGTTTCGTTGTGCATCCTTGGCATTAGATTTCCGCGCGGGCTTTTACAGTTGTTGCTCGCTTGGCAACCTTCCGAACGAACTTGCACGAGATCGCCGAGAGCCATCTCTGAATGCTTCTTATTCAATTCCTGGCATGGCTCTTTGGAACGTGGAGGCCGCGAGACGCGCCCTGGCAAGCAGAGTTGCTGTGATGAGGAAAAAATGAGGTTTGCACGGCTGTCTCGCACGGCACCCTCTGAAACGTCTGCGCTGGGTCAGCATTGGGGATATGAGCCGAACAAACAAGCAAGCAAAGTATATATACAGATACATATACATATACATATACATGTACATATACATATACATTTTATTTATGTATTTATTTATATCTGCGTGTATCTGAGGGTTGTTCTATGTCATTGTTCCATGCATGCTAATGAGGAACCCTTGCGCTTCGCCCTTGGGCGTGCTTGCGCGCGCGCACGCGCGAGGATTTGGCGATGTTCGGGTTGTGTTGAAACATCCCTAACAACAAGCTTGCGTTCGCCCTTGCGGGCACAAGGACGGTGTGCACGCTGTACACCGACCGAATTTTCGCCAATGTGCGCGTGTGTGTGTGTGTGTGTGTGTGTGTGTGTGTGTGTGGGTGGGTGTGCGTGCGTGCGTGCGTGCGTGTGTGCGTGCGTGCGTGCGTGCGTGCGTGTGCAAGATACCTGGCGGCATACACATACAGGCACACTTCGTATGCGATTCAAAGAGTGACATGGGCAACGAATTCCAGCATCGATGAAAAATCAATTTGATGAAGATGATTCCACTGCACGACATGCTTCGAATTGCCTCGACAGCCGCTCCACGAAGGCCCACCCATGGCCGAGTCCAGAGTGACAGATGCGGACTTGGATTGGGGTTCAGATCGGCAGCTTAACGATGTGGAACACTTGGCACTCACTTAACGCTGGCCATTGATCCATAAGCATTCCAAGAACGCCGTGTCGGCTCAACGGATAGGATGAAAGATCTTGGCACGTTCGGATGGCAGCGAAGGTGTCTTCTGCCAGGAGGGGATGTTCCCTCGCGACATGGAGCAAGTTGAACCCAAACAAACAGAAAGCGATGACAAGCGATGGAGCAGGCAAAGAAGGTCCAGCTTTAACCATAGCTTGTCAAACTGGTGGCACACGAAGAAACTTAAAGCAACAACTGAAATCGGAAGCAGCTGCTTTACAGAATGGCCGATTGCTTCACAATCACTATCCCGATTGTCCCAACAACTATGCTACTGCTTGACATGGCCATGGCCCGGAAGTGGCACATCCTTGCTGGAGATGTCACAAGCGTTCTCGAGAAAGACTTTCCTGAAAGAGCACATCCGCTGCATGCCAAACCCTATCTGCAATAGCCACTGCCATGAAAGACTACAGCGGATTTGGCCTCGGCGCCCAGAGATGCTGTGAGGGGAAGCTCGCCGGTGTCTAATGGGCCGGTTCTTGAGGGTCCGTTGACTGCATGGGGATGGAAATGGTGCTTCAAAGTGCTTCAGATTGCTTCAACTACGAGCTAAGCTTCCATCCTGGTTCGGCATTGATAACACAATGAGTCTGATGATAGCTCTTTCCAGGCAATCTGAGCAAATGCTGCGGGCACGAGCGAGATCGAAGAGGCACATGCCAACCCCTGGCAATCCACTGTGATCCCAGCCTGTACTAGTAGCAGCACAACTGGCACTTGCTTTTCAGCCGGCGCAGCGTCAGTTGAATGTCCTCAGGCGTGGCAGTGGGAAAAGTCATTGTCCATGCCGGCGTCTGGGGACACCTGGCATGGCGAGTCGTTAGCGCGCAACCAACAACATCCTAACAGAATGTGCAAAGCTTACAGTTTAGAGGGAAGCGAGAGAACCATGACATGGTTAATCTACGCCAGCAAGACCTGTTCCATGCATTCCATGCATCAGCCGACCCGATCTCACAGCCTCAGCCTTTCCTTGGACATATGAGGTACGGCTAATTCGGAGCTCATAGGCATCCCTTACCGATGTTGTGGCAGCACCAGTGCTTCTTGGCCATGGACCAGCCGAGCTTCCACTTGGCATAGCCTGCGTTGCAGTCAAAGTCTGGAGAACCGACCATGTGCTGCTGGACCCAATGCCAGTACCCTCCGGCGTGACTCCAATGCCACATCATGCCAGCAGCGGCCACGCCGGGTGGGTGGCCGCCCCCACCTCCAGCCCCGCCGCCCCCACCCCCACCCCCGCCACCTCCACCAGCGCCATGGGTGACGTAAGTGACTGTGTGGTGTGTTACATAAGTGCCGCCGCCACCACCACCGCCTCCGGCACCTCCACCGCAGCCCTTGTGCATATGCGCGCAGCACCAGCCCTTCTTTCCCTGAGACCACCCGAATTTGAAGTTGGCAAGGCCGGCGTTGCAGTCGTAGGGCAAGCTCTGGGTGCCACCACTGCCATGGACGGCAATCCACGTCCAGTAGCCATTCACTTGCACTCGCTTCCAAACCATGCCAAAGCCAGGGTCGACGGCAGGAGGGCTGGTACCTTCACAGCCCTTGCCCTGCTGCGTGCAACACCACTGCTTTTTCGCGGGAGACCAAGCCCGGAAAAAATTGTTCAGGGCCGCATTGCAGTCGAAGGCAGGCGAAGTGGCCACATGAACGACGCAGCCTGCTTCTTCAATGGTGCAGGCACGGCACACGTCGCAGTCCACTTGCACCTGGCTGTACGCCAAGGCACAAGCATTGCCCCTGCCTTGGAAAAGATGATCCTTGGCCCATTGCAGGCGATCCGCACAGGTGGCAGTCTCGCCATTGTGGGTGCAAGGGGCGTCGCACTTCAATGGCGACAGCGTGGTTTCGGGGCAGCCTTTCTGGAAGTGGCCGCAGCACCACTCACGCTTCCCCGGGGTCCAATCAGAAACCTCCCCGTCACAATGATGAGGAACGCAGCCACGATGATGCCTCTGACAACACCAGGCCTTCTTTGAATCCGACCAGCCCTGCATCCAGTTGGAGAAGCCGGCATGGCAGTCATAAAGGTGCCCGCTGGCATGGCCCACGTGGCTGCTCACATGTACATGTGTGTGGAGGTGCATGTGGCCATGCCAGGTCCCAGGGCATCCTTTGCTCTGATGGTTGCAGCACCATCTCTTTTTGGCCTTCGACCACCCGAAGTACCAATTCGAGAAACCAGCTGCGCAATCATAGTGTCGATGATGGTGATGTACGACCACTACTGTCTGCTCGTGAACAATTTTGGGGGGTGCTGGCACAGGTACAGGGACCTCCTTCACGACGACGTGCGGCTTGCCCGGAGTAGGCACCTGAATATATTTGTATCTCTTCACCTCGTGGTAGTGGTAGCGAGGCGGGCCGGCAACCTTGACCTTGATCGGCTCGGAGGGCACAGGGTACGGTACATACTTGGGGACAGTGACCTCGTGATCCTTGGAAGGCTTCATGTGGACATACTCTGGCACCAGCTTCATGTGGGTCACTGTGATATACTTGTCGTGGTTCACCACTTTCACTTCACAGGCCCGTCGGCGCAAGTAGCAGCAGAAGCGTTGTTGACGGGGCGACCACTTGTGACTCCAATCATCGAAATCACGATCGCAATCATACGGGCTCTTTCGCGGTTGCACAACTTTGTGCTCCACAACATGCGGTACCGCATAGGGCTCCTTGACGTAGACTTTGTGCGGAACCCTGTGGATGCGAGTCACATAGTGTACTTGGGTTATGGTGTGGACTGCTGGCTTCGTCGTGGACGGTTCTTCATGATGGGCTCCACAACCGATGTACACCTCGTTACAGCAGTAGGCCTTCTTCCTTAGTTGCGGCTCCCACAAAGCCTGCTGAAGAGATGCGACTTACTCGGACTATGATTCGGCCTTCAGCCTTGGGAGCCTTAGGACAGTGCGATGATGACTTGCCCTCACATGCACAAGTCTAGCTTCTCTATTCGTCGCTAGTGACTCTTGTGAACTTGTGACTTCTATGACAGAACTGAACTTGGTCAAGCTTCAAGTCGTCCCATTCGGTCTGCCACTGGTCCAACCCCAGTTGGCAGTTGTGCGCAGCGTCCACGACGGGCATGTCGTGTGCCTCACAATTGAACTGTTGATGGTGCAGTATTTCGGTCCGTTTGGGGAGCTGATGTGAGGGAGGTATGGCTTCCGCATGGCTGAGGAAACTGACGGCTGAGTCTTTCCTGTTGCTGGTACTTTGAGATGCCCTTTTCATTGACCCGTGCCGTGTGTTGCTCCGTGCTGGCTCTCATGACCCCAAGCCATGACTCCAATCTGGGTTGGCCTGGTCGGTCACGAAGGGTCGCACGATTAGGAACACGGCAATGAAAAGCAGGACGCCGATGAGCGCGATGCAGCCTCGGCTCGCGGCCAAAGCTTCCATAGATTCAAAAGTCTCCGAAGTAATGTCTCGACAGACTCGTACAATTAAACAGCTTCAATGAAACTGGCTGTGAGATGGGCAAAGCCAGATGTAAGTCGATTTAGCTTTCCGGTTGAGGTCTACAACACGTGGCCAAAGTTCTGCTTTGAAGTTTTCGAAAGAACGTGTTCTGGAATTGCGATTCGCATTGCACACCAGCATTCTCAAGCATCTTTGACATAGTAGAAATAGTAGGAATAGCAGTCATGGTAGTCATAGTAATAGTACGACTAATGTTGGACTCGCTTTAGTGCGCAGGCCCCCCCCCCCCCCTCACCCCAAACAATTTTGGGGTTTTCGGGGATCCTGAATACTGTGGGCTGGGGCTGGGACGGGACGGGGCTGGGGCTGGGACGGGACGGGGCTGGGGGTAGGGCGGCCAGGGGTCGAGGGTTGAGGGGAAGCTTTGAAGCTTGAGGGTCTCTTTCCAGGCTTTGTAGCTCCACGGTCGCCGGGGCTCGCATAAATGCGGACCACCGAAACAACTTGCTAAAGCGAATCAGGGCAGCTCGTGGGCTACTCCCTTGGAAAATTGTTTGGGGACCTGTTTCGTAAAGAAATTTTAAAAGGAATTTACATAAGGCATTCCGGAGTTTCTTATTCAAAGCTTTTGTCATTTTTGGCTCCCCGGCCCCCCGCCCTTCAACCCGGCCGGGCAAACATCGCATAATTGAGGACCACCCTAAACAATGGGGGGTCCTGTATAGGATTTTCGGAACATCGCATAATAGTGCCCCCTTCCACTAAAGCGAGTGGACTATTAGAAGCAATAGAACCATGCGGCTGCAATCTGCTTCTGCCTCCTGTCGCGGGCTCTAGCTATAGCGAGCTGTGCAGCACGTATCATGTTATGCCTTTTGCGTGATAAAGTAGGTCGGAGAGAAGGATAAACTAAGGAAATGAGACCTAATAAGGAAATCACGGGATAAATCTTCTTGGTGTTAGACAAGACCCTTTTTTTGCAACACTTGAACAGCTTTGACTATTATGACTACTTTGTACTGCTACTACTGTTGCTGCTATTATTGCCTATTGCTGCTGCTGCTGCTCCTGCTCCTGCTGCTGCTCCTGCTGCTGCTCCTGCTGCTGCTCCTCCTGATCCTGCTACTTGCTACTGCTACTGCTACTGCTACTCCTACTCCTACTCCTCCTACTACTACTACTACTACTACTACTACTACTACTACTACTACTACTAGGCAAGGCACAGGTTCTGCATCGAAAGCCGGAGTATTCCTGCCAAACTTCTGGGAAGGCGGCTGCTGGAGCACGGCGGGGGTGTTCAAAAATAGTTATTCTATCGCTAAGCGAGCCGCGACAGGGATGAAAGTTCAAGATAAATCAAGTGAGGAGTTGGCAGCTGGCATTTCAGGGAGGTGTGTTCGCTTCCCTGACGCTGCGCGGCCATGCATGCCCATCAGCCCACGTATAATCCAAATCCTTCAAGCAAACCTCATCGAACCACAGTGCTTCACATGCCAGAGAAGACAACCGTTCGGACCACTCGCCTCGCCCATCTCGTACGCACCTCGGCCAGCACCGACGTAGTGCACCTCAGATTACACTATTCCGGGGGCGGGGGTGGGGGGCTTGTGATTCATGTGTTTATTTTACCACCCGTCTACGGCAGGGATTGGTGGCGAGGCAAGACTACACGACGTGCCACTAACTAGTTAGCATACTTAGAACCTGAAAATATGAGCCGAATTTCTTGCTTGGGAGGTTCTTACGGACCAGAGTGGCGGTGGGTCAAAGCAAAGAAGGCGAGCCACGGCTAAGTGGGCGCCCTTCATTTTATGAAATTTCCCACCCTAATTATTTCCACCCCAACCCATCGCAGCTCCACCCCTAGCCTGCCTACTACCCCCCCCCCCCCCCCCCCCCCCCCCCCCCCCCCCCCCCCCCCCCCCCCCCCCCCCCCCCCCCCCCCCCCCCCCCCCCCCCCCCCCCCCCCGCCCCCCCCCACACCCCTGCCCTTTCCGCCCCACCGCCTCCCTCAATGCCCGACTATTACTCGACCCGGTCCGCCCCCCTCACCCCCACACTCCCAATTCCCTACAGAAATACATGGGCGACTTTGCCTCGCTGCCGTGGACACGGGCCGGCCCAGGCGGGCCGCGTAGCGCTCAAACTAATTGAATGGTAATCCAAATTCATTCATCAGAGGAACCTTGGTCACCGGGTGAAAGGAGCCTCGCCCCTCACCCACATATTGCCAATGTGCGCTGGCGGAGGCCGTGGTGGGGTCTGGCTCGAAGCACATGCTGCCCATGCCAGAATCCACACATCCCCGGTCCGTTGCGAATCCGCCTTCAACGCATCCGCCTTGAACACATCCCCCCTCGGCACATCCGCCCCCACCGCATCCACTTCCAGCACCTCCCTCAGCATAGCCCCCGCCATCCCCGCCCCAGCCCCCAAACCAACTTCCGGCCGTTTCAGCCCATGTCGCAGTGGTCCCGGCCGCGGCAGCTTGTTGCTCCACTCCGGCTGCGGCGTCGACTCCAGCTCCTGTTATGTCTCGAGCCTCCACCGTACCCACCACTGGCGCCATCTAGAAGCACTGGGGATCTATCTACCTGCTGTCCCTTGACTGGGCATCGGTGAGCACTAAACTTCCAAGGACTCCCGTGCAAGCAGCAAGCTGAGAGCGCAAACGCTCCAAAAGATTCCAGCACCTCACAGTTTGCTGGCAGGAACTTGCAACCGGACTATTTTATCCGCATGAGCTTTCAGGAGCCTTGATGCCTAGCCTATATATAGAGTATCGAGGTTTTCAAGATGCAAAGCTGAACAACGCTGAACCGGGCGGAGGGTGGCTCTGCTAGAAGTTGTTCGTTTGCATTCAAGCTCGGTATCAGAAAACCAAGTCTGTGACCTAACCTGCACAGGCCTTGAAGCCGCAGGCCATCTGAGGGATGGCTTAGGGAGCTCTGATGCTCAGGAGTAAGGCGCCTCTGCCGGCCGAAGCGACAACTGGCAGCCAGAGAAGCAGATGCTAAATCGAATTCCATCCCCTGATCTCTCATCTTGTGAGCTCGAACTTCGAAGTCCTCTGCAGACTCGCGGGTGGCTCAGCATGTCGCCGCCATTATAAACGCTTCATTATAAACGCTTCGACAAGGTGTCCCGACGTTACGAAAACAAGAAAGCTTCGAGGTTTGCAGGGCGGAGTTGCGAGCGGCACTATAAGCTTGCACGGTTCATGTTCATGGTGCAGACATTCCTGTTGGCTTCACCAGACGCCAGGCATCGTGCATCCGGCAACGACGAGGATCTCAGGCCCTTGTAGCCTGTCAACAGAGTCAGCACTGGCTTTGGATTATTGAGCCTGAGCTGCTATATGCAACTCAGCTGCTTTTCATACGGAAGAATGGCTAACAAAATTTGACTATTTGAATCAACACATTGAAAGCCATGAGTCTCATACGGCGTCAGCTAAGTGAACATAGCACTAATCGCAAGACGCATCGAACATGAAACCAATTCAATAGCGAGCTCTGGCTGCCCAACGACCGATTTTGTGTCTTAAGAATGACGATCTTCGCTTGCCTGTTGGACCCATACACGTGCAAACTTGTTTCAGACCCTTAACCATTCTCAACCATGGTCAGCCGGTGCTAAAATCGCAAGAATCTCCCAAGCACCTATGGATGCAGCACAGGGATCCTAATGAGCACACCCAAGCAGCAGCGATTCTGGGGATGCGTCTGCGCCCGCGTTCCGCGTAGTCGAGGCCCCCCCCCCCCCAAAAAAAAAAAAACCCTGCCCGTTAACCCTAAAAACACCACGGACCACAGGAGGGGGAGCGAGAAACCCTCAACCTAAACCCCAAACCCTAAGCCCTGAAACCTAAACCGACCAATGACCCATAGTGAGGGTCAGAGTGAAAATCCTGAACTCTACAGCCTACGTAACCCTAAACCCCTATACGGGGGGCAACCGAAGGGGGACGAGAAACCAAACAGTCAACCCCAACAGAAACCCTTGATTCCCCTGGAACAACCAAAGACAAAACCCAAAGCACAACCAAACACACCTTTTCTGTAGGGCGCATTGCCCAAGGTCTTGAGCCAAAAATTTGAGTTCCGGTTATTTTAACCTTCCCAACCTATACAAGGCAACCTCCGCACTCCCCCTGTCCTGAGATTCTCTCAGGACACCATGGAGGTGCAGATTAATCATAGCTATTTCTTGCAAATACGGGTTTTACGTCATCCTGGACGAATTTAAGAGCTCATTGACCCTGTACACCATGGAGGATTTTGTCACCTCACTTGTAAAGTGAATCCATCATCCACCAAAAATTCTGCACTCACAACCCATTCTTTTTTAACGCAGCGTTTGCACATTGTCCTCGCCTTGGGTTGTGAATATTGCAGAGTATCACAATCACTGCTTGCGTGCATACAGCCACCATTTGCCGTTACGTACAGTGTGGCACTCGTTGGGATAACCACCGCCTTTTTACCCCACAGCCCTTGATGTAGCCGTCGGAGGATGTACTTGGCCAATTCCCAGAGTAAAATCATTGCCACCAAATACGCAACGATATCCAAGTTGTTCAGTGCTGTTTCTATGCCTTGCGCCAGAACCATTGCCGTGGATTCATTGGATACTCTACACACCCCATCTTCTGAGCAGAAAAAACCAGGCGTTCGCGTCTCAACTGTTGCCATCCCTTGAAGAGATGCAGCCACCATCATGACCGCCATTGCAAGAGAGGCCCTTTTCAAGTCAGTTCCTTGCACCAACATTTGGAGACCCCAAAGCGCCTTTTGTTTCGCGTAAACCTGTCCACTCATCAGTTTTGTTAACAGGTCAGCAATCATGTACTCACCACGAAGATGTGCTATCACCATGTAACCACGGTCAACCAGAGACCTGACACCAGCTGCTCGGATTCTCAGGTGCCTTGTCCTCCAGCTTCCAGCAGGATATTGAATAATTGAGCACGTCGAAACCGAATCTGTATACAGCACTTTCTGCAGCGTTTCTTCACCGGTTCCCACCAAAGCGGCAATTATGGGAGTACACGACTGAATCATCGTTGCTCCCATAGACGCATGTAACTCAGCTTCAGCAGTACTCAAAGCCACCGTTGACTGTCTCTGCGTTGCCCACATCACCGGACAATCACCCCAAACCACTACCGCTCCTGAGTGGCTCTTTTCGTTTTCACCTGCTGCAAAACTAGCATCTGCGTCGGACTCTACCACCTTGATGCCTCGCCCATAACGCAACAACTCATTCCGTTCTTTTTCGCTTGTTGCGATTGCTCCAAACGTCAAGCCCAACGTTGGAGTTGCAGCAAGGTACCGAAATACCTCCTCAGCCTTTTTAACCACGAATCGCGGCCTTCGAGATGTCCACAAAGACAGCTGGCTTGTGCAGAAAGCCAAATCAGGTCGAGTTTTGATTGCCACCCAGAGGAACTCCCCTACGGCACCTTGAGCCGCTCGTAAGGAAGGAATATCCACCTCCTCTTCTTCACCAGGGGTTTCTTTAACCGTTGGCAGATTACTGCCTTTTCCAGTTTCATCAATCTGATACCCTCGTCGGTTCAGCAAATCTCTCACGAAGTCCTCTTGGTTGAGAAAGAAGCTGCCATTTCGATACCAGATCTGGACACCCAAAAACTTCAGGAATCCATCACCACAGCCTGGACCACAGAACTCAGGTTCAGAAGTTTTCCACTCCTTCCTGATCTGTTCCAAGGCTTCCCGGAGCACTGTCATAGTCCCGGCCATCAAAAAATCATCCACGTAAAGACCCATTGTCCCTACCAACTCGCTTGCACCTTCCAGCTTCTCTTGTGCCATAATAAGGAACAGACTTGGGTCTGCATTGGACCTCTGAAAGCTCATTGCTTGTCCATCCTTTGACACCCAAGACATGCCTTGAAGACGCTGATCTCGCCACTCCACCCATGCTGCAGGACTTTCGGCCAAACCATACAAGGCCTTCCTCACAATCCACCGCTCCTCCTTTGTGCAAAGACCCAATTTCACCGCCGCCCTTGGGGGCTGCACCACCACCAGACGCCCTTCTCTTTGCGCCCTATATTCATCGGCGCCGTCAGAGAAGCTTTAATTTGGAAATGTCCAAACCAGCGATGATCCACACCATATATGCTGCGTGCCTCACTTGACACCTAAATGTAGTTGAATCTAAACCAGGAGCGTACAGCGAGTGACGACTAAGGGACCTAGGCCCTTCGTACTCTGTAGCCGCTGTTGACGAAATAAAATTGCCGCATGCACAAATACGGGCACGTCGCCTTCCAGTCCCTTGTTTCCGGGTAAACACCACCAGACTGGGCACGTACTCAATCACCGGTGCATTAGGCTCTTCCGCCAATTTGTCCAGCTTTTCTTGAGTTGTTGGTTCAACCACCTCCAACTCCTTAACCAAAGACGTCACCTCGTCCGACAATGGTTCCCTCCACTTTTCAAGCTCTTGCATGGCTTCTTGTGTAGGAATCGTTTTCGTTTGCAGGAACTCAACCTCCTCTGCTGCTTCAAGCGCTATATTTTCTTGCACCGTTTGCTGAACTTGAGCTGCTTTGACCAAAAACTTCGATAGCTGTTCCTCTGTTCTTTTCGCTTTAACCAGCCATTCTCTAGTCTCTGATCCTTTTTCTCCATTCGACTCATTGGCCGATTCATGGAACTCGTCCAAAACACAGCCTTCCTGTTCAGCAATTAGGCGTCGAATACTCAAATGCTCCTCCAGAGCCCATTGCTGCGCCTCAAAAACAACATAGTCGACTTCCTCCGCAATGACGTCCAGTGAGGTCTCTTTCAACGTCATTTTTAACCACTTCCTTTTTTTCACCTTCTTCAGCTTGTGGTTCCGGAAGAGGAAACTTACATTGGAGAAGATAGCACCTATCCTTGTAGCTCAATCGCTCCATAAAAACAGGTGTGTACCCTGTCAAAGATACCCTGTTCCCTTTCCAAGGCATAGGTCCATGCAATTTTCTCGGAAAGAACGACATGAAGTTCCAGTGGACATTGACTAATTTTCCAGGCAAGACTTTCTTCCCATAGGATTGCTCCACCACTTCAGCTCCTTCCTCTAAAACCTTCTCATCCTCAACCCACAGCTGACCATCCTTATAGTCACCAAAGCCACACACATAATTGCAGCAACGCTTCTCATTGTGACTATCTCTATGCAATGACACCGGAGCATTGCATGAGATCTGAAGAGCAGAGAAATTGGCTTCAGGATTGCGGTGCTTCACGAATGATGCCAGGTATCGACACAGCCATGGTCTCCGATGGGTCTCTTTTGTAATACCACACACTCCACCATGAGTATAGTGGCCCAACACCAGAGCTCGCGTACTTGTGCACCAATTGTTAATACCACCTCTTCGGTTCACCCTCTTTGGGTATACAATCCCTTCCAAAAGCTCTTCGCAGTCCACGTAATCGTACATAGACCTTTCATACATCGATTTGGCTTTTTGTTCTTCTTTTTCCAACTGTGTTCCATCCTCTGCAGTCTCCCTTTTGCAGACCAAATAAGCATCTTCATGAGGAGAAC